ATCAGGCACGTGCATTTCAGGTATAAATCATGCATCTCACACCTCCAGGCTAAGTAAAAGGCTGTTTTCCCAAAGGCTCTCTTTCAAAAGGCAGTAGCAGTGCTACCTGAAGGGCCCCTCAGCCCAAGCCAGACAAGGTGCCTCTGCAGAAGCTCGGGGAGAAGAGAGGTCTCCATGGCAACAGGGGCCCCAGCACTCTCACAACCCCTCTTCTTCATCCTTTCCTCAAATTCAATTTTTCTTCCAAAGAGAATTGCTTAGAAGTTCAACTGAACACACATAAAAAACAAAAGTATAATATTTATTCCAGGCAGACTTTACCAAGGTGCATCCTGAACTGAGCTTCACTGCAGCACAGTCCATGACTCCTGAGGCTTAGAACCGCCCATACAAAATCACAGGGGAAAATCATTACTATAATGCTGTGATACTGCAATATGTTAATAGTATGCAATTAGTATTACATGCAACCACCACTCATATCATCATGTGCCTCATGCTTCTTTTTATGCTTGTTTTTCAGTCACTTTTTGCTTTGCCAAACTTTATTTCAGCTAATCAACAACTAAGTTAATCCATGCAAAGTGCCTGGTTTAGAAGATTTCATCTAAGACACTTCTTATAAGTGTGATACCAGTGAAACAAAACATCATAATTTCCATCCCCAAACCTTTTTGTTCCTTCCCCTCAGATGACTCTACCCTTTTTGTGGGCACAGCTATAAATTTTGGCTGGAGCTCTTGCAGACATGACCCTCATTCTTTAAAAATTCTCTCAGTCTAGCCTGGAGTCATATATCTGCAGTATTTTTTACTGGGAAATCTGCATGAAAAGGGGAAAGGGGGAAAGCCTGCTCTGCAAGACACTGGGAAGGCAGCAGGGTTCACTTTGCACTGTGATATGGGATGCCTCTTTCAAAGCATATAATTTTCCTTCAAAGCGTGGCTAGAAACCAGGAGGTAACCAATCTAACCCATGGCTTTCCAAAAAGTGCTGTAACAACTAAAATAGAGTTGAAACTTTAGCAGAGCATCCTCAGCCTTTCCAGTTAAATTTCCTTCTGTACAGGACATATTAAGGAAGACAAAAAAGCAAGTAACATAGAGCCTAGATTCCCAAACTTTAAATAAGGCACTGATCTAAAAGGTCTGGGAAAGTTTCCAGAATTTGGGATTATGTGGGATACAGTTAGTAAAAAATGCACTGAAAGTAAGATGCATATTCAATCTGGGGAGTGGACATTAGCACTGAGGACATCTCTTTCTTCTCATAATTTGCATCAATTTTGTGCCTGTGGATTTTTTTTCCTGAACGACCAACAATAATTATTTTTAGAGAAGAAATTCAGTTTTATCCAACATAAAAATTGTGAACATATTCAAAGAGACTCAGGAACAAATGTTGATTCTCAGACCTTGGAAATATAAAAAGAACAGAAACCACAAACCACGAAAAGGGCAAATTGAAATTAGATATATGGAAAAATAAACTGTGAGGGTGGTGAGACACTGGAACAGGAGGCCCAGGGAAGTTGTGGATTCCCCACCCCTGGAAGCGTTCAAGGCCAGGTTGGATGGGGCTCTGAGCAGCCTGGTCTAATGAAAGGTGTCCCTGCTCATGGCAGGGGTGCTGGAACAAGATGATCTTTAAGGTCCCTTATAACCCAAACACTTCTGTGATTCTATCCTACAATTCTACAATGGTATATAATCTTACCTAAACCTAACATGTCATGAGCATTCATTTACACCTGTCAGTAAAAGCACAACTCATTGAGCTCCTCCATTTAACTGCTGTGACTTTACATGCAAGTAAGTAAACTGTGGGAAAACCCATGTTCAGAGTGAGAGAGCCCACATCCTCATCTGCTTCAAAATAGTTATTTCTGGTCTTCCTTTCCCTTCCCCTGAGCAGGTGCTATTGTCCACTGCATTTCACCCATCATTTTGATCTCCCTTTCAAACTAAGCTCACTGTGCATACTGGTTCCAAGAGTTCTTTGGAGACCCTCTTCATTTCCAAGATCTCATCCCACTGCTCACACTCAACTGAAAGTGGCTGCAGTCACCTCTGGCAACCTCTCCCCACCAAAATTCAGAATTAATACACTCTCTTTCTTCTTTCAAAGCTAAAGTAATAATTAGTCTCTGCAGACTGATTCCTTCTAATGGCAAGATGAAAATATACCTTGCAGATCAGCATTGCTGTACTCCTATATTCACTGCAAAACTGATCTCAAGAATCTTCTTTGATAAAAAGAAAGCTATGAAAAATTTACTCCCTTAGAAAAGGAGCCCTATGTCATCCCAAGCTTAAAACAAAGAAAAAAACTTTTTTTACTTTCTTGCCTTCAGCAGGTATAACGAAACAAGACAGCACTGTTTTGTCATATCACAGTGAGAACTAACACAAGAATTTATCCTAGTGTTCCAAGTCTTCCCACAGGTCTCAGAGGTCTGAAATGGGAGAAAATAAAACCATAACATGCATCTCTCTCACAGCTGACAAATTCTTCTGTGCAGCAGGTACCTAAATTAAATTCACAACACCAACTGTGATTCTTCCCTCTTGCAGGACCTGGACCTCTCCATGCTGTAGACTCCTGCTAATGTCAGACCACTGTAATCATTATCAAGACTGAGTAATATAGCTTTGTTCCATTTCAAGCTGAAACTAAAAGGAATTTCTTCCTTTAAAAGGGTAATGCTATTTTACCAACAGCAAAGTGCCTTGGGCATGCACTGATGATGTGAAATGCACAAGTTACACATCCACCCAAACTAGAAAGGATTCAAACCCACACATCCTACCCCTGAGGACATTGACCCCATCTCAGGCTTTAGGGAGAAAGATAGTCTTATCCACCTACTGAAAGGCAAAGAGGAACCTGGGAGTCACTAGAACAAGGAACTGCTATTCTGCAGCTTAACTGAGGGGCTCACCTGATGGAGAAAAGAGCTGGATGCCACTCACGCTCTAAGGATGATGGCATAAGATAAATTGTAACTTAATTAACAGTGTTTCTGCCAGCATTAATGTGAGGTAAATATCCAGTTGTTATCTCTTGCTGATGCAGAGATACTGTTCAGCATGTGAACATGCAAAACTTCTGCCACATATGAGATGTGGCTTTCTTTCCATTCAGTAAAGAATAGTAGTACATTCATTGGGTTGACATGAGAAGATATGTTAAAAGATTCCAAAGTTTTCAACTGTTATGAGAGTGTATATCATAACTGTTTTAAATTAGCACTTCAGGAACACAGAGAGAATAGAAGCGAAGATTGTTTCAAAAAAATAGTTAAAATTGGTTTCCATCACTGCAAATGCACGAGGCCCACTGCTAACATTTGTCATTGGACTAGTGCATTTTCATAATTTAAAAAAAAATATTATTTCTTCCCCTGTTTAGCTCCTTGATAGGCCTGGAAAAGTTATTGATCTGGAAGTTTCGTCAGCATCCCAGCCATCCAATCAGCAAATAAATAAAAATAAAAATAAAGCAAATAAATGTGATATGTTGAAATGTTTTCTCAGTCCATCTCTTGGAAACAAATCACAGTTGGTTGGTTGGTTGGTTGGTTTTTAAAAGCTCTTAGTTGCTAAAGGAATGATTACGTGATAATTATGTCTGTTTTCTTCTTCAAGTAATTTTGGAGGATCTATGCTCATGAAACTAAATCTGGACACATGACTCAAATTTATTCTTTATAAGGTACAAAACTCAAAAAAGAAGGAATTAAAATTCTGACTTTTCTCATCTAGTCTTGTTATTTTAAGACACTGTTCGCTGGCTATTGTTTTGTGCCAGGTACTATCCAACACACAGAAAAAAACCAGAGTACCTATGATATTAAAAGTATCCTTTCTGCACACTATGTGCCAAGAAAGAAAAAAGCAAGAACCATGAGGATTATCCCCACTGCACAGAGGAATAATTGATGCCAAAAGACTCAGTAATTTACAGTAATAGCCAGTATAGTGCATTGTTGACTGGGACTCAACACTGTTCCATGGCTATGCTTACCATCTTCTTAGAAATTATATAAGTGATATTAAATATTACCAAAAGGACATAGATATTTACACCATGACCACAAAAATGGACTTTAGCGGTACTCAAGATCAGGAAAATCTGAAACAAATCCTTGACAAAATGAGCCAATGACCATCAGCAAATTCCTGCAGAACTCCCTTAGGAAAGCTGGACGTTTTGTCACTCAAGCCCTGTGTGTAAAGCCTTGAATGATTGAGATAGTAGTGACATTTTACTGAAATCCAGCTTATTTATCTCCCAAACAGTGCTAACTGACTCACCATAAGGCTTTTTTTGCCTTGTTTTCATTTGTTTGTTTGTTTTTGTGGGTTTGGGTTTTTTTTGCCAAGAAATGCACACACATTCCTAACAAAACAATTTGGTATAAGCATCAAGAAAGCAAATGTACACACGTTTGTAAAATTATATAGCAATACCTTACTACGACATATCTAATCCATATTCCTACTGTAAGAGTAATAAGTAGGCAAGAATGCACATGGCTATACATATTTACAATATAAAGTACTTCTAAAGGATTTATTTAAAATCTGCGGGACACAAATATCAAATTACTGCAGAGTGAAACAGAAATTCAGCAAAACTTGTTTAAAACATTCCATGCCCTTTTTTATGTTAAAGAGAACAGATCCCACTGCAGCTGAAAATAAGCATGTCATCAACCTATTCCATTTTTGCCCGTTTAAATTCTGGTAGAAAAGCTTACTAAGTAATACATGCATCCAATGTATAAGTTCTCATCCATGAATTCATTTAATAGCAACAGCTTTTACACATCAAAACCCACAAGGAACTTGAAATCATACACCTGAGGACCAGAAATGCAGTAAGAAAGAGTCACGAAGGCAACCAATGATGCCAGTTACCTTTTGGTCTGCAGTCCCTGACCGCAAGGATGGATAAAAAAAATAAATAATCAGAGAACTCCAGCAGCTCCCACTCACCCAGCAAGGAGCCCACGAAGATGACAACCTGCACGGTGGTGGTGAAGTGTCGGTAGCTCTGCTCCTCGCCGTGCTCCTCGCCCTCCGCGGCGCCCGCCTCGCTGACATTCCCGCCCTGCCACACCGCCTGCCCGGCCGAGGAATTGTTCCCCATCTCCAGGGCGCTGGTGACAGCCTGGGACGGGGCATGGTCGCTTTCATTCATCAACACCCAGCTTCTGTCGTACCCCATGGCGAAGTTCCCGCCTTCCTTGCTGCCACCTAATAAAAACACAGGCTGTCCAGCCTTTGCCTTTAGTGAATGAACGGAGCCCACAGGCAAAAAGACGCTTCTGAAGATAAAGCCCGGTCTCTGCCTCTGGGAGGCATCTTCACCACATTCCTGCGTCCCGAGAAGCAGGGCTGGCTGTTCGCGTTTTCACCTTGTAAGTCATGACAGCCAGTAAACAAAAGCAGAAAATAAGCCAGGCTTCTCCTTCCGCTCAGCTGTGCCATAGTTTTTGCTTCACACCGCCACAGGTCTCCTCCTCAGCATGTTTTACCGCAATAAGCGAGAGAGAAGAAATCACGGTCCCCGGAATCACACCCCACACCGCGGCTCATCTTCCTTCCCACGGCTGCCGAGGGTCGCACACGCTGGCACGGCCACGGGCTCAGAGCACAGCCAAACCGGCCTGCAAAAGTGGGGGGACACGAACTCTGTCCCCTCGCTCCGCTCTCAGCGTTGGCTCTGGCTTTGGTCACAGCCCTGAGAAAGGAAAAGCACGGCTTTCCCCGCGGCACATCTGCTCCCGCTCTCTCCTCTGCTGCTGCCCGCTCACCCGCGGTGAGACACGGCTCCCTCCCGTCTCCCTCCCGGCCCTGCTCGGCGCTGGACGCTGCCAAGACCCTTACAAGCGTCCAGAGAGGCCAAGTGTGTGCTCAGTGTGTGCCCTGCGCTCCCGCTATTTCTCGGGGAAAATGAGCTGGGGCTTGACTCGCCAGGCGGGGGGCGCCCGAGCGGCCGCTGAACCGAGGCGGCTCCGGACGATCCCTGCCCGCCCCGCACTGAGCGCGGCTGGCAGCGACACCGCTGCTCCTTCGTGCTCCCACGGCGCCGAGCCGCTGCGGACCCGCACTGCCAAACCCCGCGGGGACCCCGGGCCGGGCCGGGGCAGGAGCCGCCGGCCCCGCGCTCCCGGGGGCGGGCGCGCCGCCATCACATAAGCGCGGCCGCGGCGCTCGGCGGCGCCGCCATTTCGCTCGGGGGCTGCGGGAGCGGGCGGGCGCGTTTTACAGCGGTGTTTTAAAACAGGTTCCTAATTCTGATGACAGACTTTCAGGAGACGGTGCTGGGTTACAGATACGCATGTTACTTGTTAAAATAAATATTTTTCTAAATGTATACTTTTCCAGAAAAGCTCTTCGTAATAAGTTCGGGCATTGATTGTACGCATGGTGTTCATCCATATAAGTGGGTACACATTTGCCTTTAATTTGGAGACGCTGGGGGGTGCTAGTTAAAAAATAAGCCAAAAAGGTTTTTTCAGCCACTGGCCGACAGTCTGGGAATGCCCCGGGAAGAGGAGCCATCCATGTGCTCAGCTCCTGCACAGCAAGGCTTCCTCAGGGACCCGATGCCCATGAGATGTGTCCCAGTGACATTCGCCCAGTCTCCTGCGGTGTGAACTTCGGTGATCCAGGACCGAGCTAGCTGCTGTGCCGTGGGTTCAAAGACATTTGCTGACCACGGGGATAGGGGACTGCCATTGTCCCATCCCACCACAGTCCTGGAGGCTGTTGGCCAAGCCTCTGCTTGTACCTCCATGTGTTTGCACTAAGCCATTTACAGCCTCCTTTCATTCCTCTGGGAGTTCATTGCCCCAGCCTCTTTTCTAGTAATTCATGTCTCTGACTCACTCTGATTGTGGCCTCAGATTCATGCACCCTCCTACCTTTTCCTCTCATTCATAACTCATTCACTTTGTCCACCCAGTCCCATTTTCCCCCATTTTACCAGGCAATAATCAGCAGCTTTCACCATGCTTTCCCCTCATCTTTCCTTTCTTGAGACACCTGAACAGGCTTCTTCTTCCTTTTGGCCTCCAGCATTCTTGTGGCCAATATCTGTAACTAGAGCCCGACCTCAGCCCCTTCACCTCCCAGCCACCTGCAAGGTGCCTTTCCTCACACAGCCATTCCTTTCTTCAGCTCCTCCATTGGTATGGAATGATGACCAAGGAGCCAGGTGAGAGCTAATACTTACTATCTACAGCCCACACTGTGTACCCTCTGTGTAGTCTTTGCACAGATCTCCATAGCCAAGAAAGACTGAGCTGGCTAAAGGAAGAGGTCCTTTGGACATAGGATGGTCTGGGTTTGACTTAGGAATGGAACAGAAAAAAGACTGGAACTTTGAAGGACACTGTGGCTGAAACAGAAATATTTGCCTAATTAAAAGTCATTTAAATATTAAAATGTTCACACCTGCATATGCTAATAAGCCTAATGAAGTACATGTTACCACATAAATTACTGTATTACTCAACACTCTGCTTAGACCATGCTATAGGTATGTAGAAGGAGGAGGATCAGACTGATCAAATTGTGCTGTATGTAAGGAGGGCAGACCTGTTGGAAGAAAGACCCTAAAAGACTTTAGAGAGAGTTCTCAGGCTACTCTCCTCTCCCTCCTTCCAAGTGGAGATGCTGTCTTGGTAAGCATCTACCTGCTATTATTATTGTTACCCAAATAACACAATGTTATCATTAGAGCTCTATCACAGCTAGTGCATGTATTCTGACTTTTTATTTCTGTTGTTTCAATAAATCACATTATTTTGAATCTGTGCTCATGGAAGTTCCCATTGAACATGACCAGACATATAAAGATTATAATCAGAATAAGCCCAGCTGCACATAGGCCCTCTGGTTTCTGGAGACCAGCTGGAATGCAAGAGGTTTTATTTTCTGCCAAATTTCTTACTCTTAACACTCAGAACCTTTTCCCTCTCTCCTGCACTTTACGTAGGAAGACTGACTTCCCCTCACCATGAACATAGGGAAGTGAAAGCACATTCTCACAACTCAATTAAATTTTATCTGCTAGAATTAAATTTTAATGCTGTAGGACAGTTTTAAATATTGTCTTAAAATTTGGAAGGGAAGCTTCTATCCAGATGCAGTCTGGCACATTTTGGGGGCAGATGTTCATTGTATTCCAGTAAATCTGTGCTGAGAATGTGAATAGTCCCCGCAGTAAATTTGGTTTAGTTCATGCAAATTTTCACAAGGTTAGCTAGCAAAGCCACAGCACTGAAAAAAGGTTGTCTCCTCCTCCTCATCAAATTTTTGCACTCCTGCTGGAGTATAAGATTTTTAAAAATAAATTCTCAGAATGTTTCTATGATTATGTTATTTTCCTCTGGCTTCCTTCTTAGAAACAATGAATCATTATAGAAGTAATTAAGGGGGGAAAATAGCTTGAGGTAGACGTCTAGTCTAGAACATTTCAACTTAATTGGTTAAAATTTTGTCAGTCACAAAGTAGAGGAAAGTCGGGCAGCTTTAAAAGGCATATTGTTATCTGGCCTACCCACTGCTATACAGTGTAACAGGGGAGAAATTTCCCATGTGCTGGGCTGTGTGTCCCACACGACATGCTTGGGAAGTATAAACCCATAAAGAAAATGGTGCTGATATTTCTTCATTACTTACTGCATCACATCTTCTAATTGTCCATTCTTGCTGTGTCCTTGTGTGGGAGAGAAGATGAAGACACTTTTATTTCCAGTCTTCAACACAGGGAAACTTTTTATTTATTATATACAAATTGATAATGAGCATACCCAACTGCACGAGAGAAAACTCCAGTGATCGGTTACAGGGTCATAGCTGGCTGAGCAAAAGGATGTCTCTGTTGTTGCTAGATAAACACTAAACAGCTTTGGTCACGTACTTCCCACCAAAAAGCAGATGAGATATAAAGACCCTGCCACTAAAGACACATTCTAGGAATGGCAAAGAGCAGAGACCAGTGTCACAACAGCGATACAATTTAACACTTGGTTTTCGTTTGATACTAACGGCATAATTCGAGTCGGAAAGATAAAGCAACCATGGAACAAGCTTTCAATTTCAGAAGGTCAAATTGAGGGCTATAGAAACCGACCAGTAGTGTAAATGAGTGGTTTCTGTAACAAAATGTCTGTACTCAAAGGTCAGGGAGTAAAGTCAGTCACCAAAACTCCATTTCTATATCTGGGCGCAGGGTAGCAAGCTGCAGACTACTGTAACATTTTTTCTTTGCCTGGGGATTACTCACTCATTAATAGATAAGCTCATATGTATGAATTTTTGGGGGGTTTCTTTATGAAGATCCCAAGACTTTAAAGGCTCCATCTTGTGGCAGTCCTTTTCAGCAGTTACCATGTGAAGTGACCGTAGGAAAGCGTGTTTTCCTCTCTGCTTGTCGCTGCTCCCCTGACAACCCCAGCTGCCTCTCTCTGGCAGGTCGCACCAAGGACACCCGGCCTCACTTTTTGTTTGCAGTTCAGCCAAAGACTGTTCGCCCTCCACCTGCTGTTACTCTCTACAGCAATTGTCGGTGGGAACCTTTTTTACAGTTTTCACAGGAACTTGTATCCTGCCCCAGCTCTATTCTGAAATTCGTGGTTATTTTTTCCCTTCTGTGAATCTTTCTCAAGGTCATTTTAAAAAAATCTACACAGTATCCAGCTGTCTTTGCTGTGTATCTCTGTAATGCAGATATACCGGCGGGCAGATCCTGAGTGTTATAAATGAGAGACAAAAGTCTCGATATTCAGCAAAATTTAGATTGGGTTTTTTTTCGATATAGAAAGAGCAAGCAGCGCTGGGGAACGTGAGGGGTCACCGCCCACTCCATGCTCCACTGAACCTTGGTTTGCAGTCTCTTCTTATACTGTGGTTTCTCGTTGTAATCAATAATTTTTGGTTTTTTTGTTGTCATAAGCAGTGGTGGTTAAATAAACATCCTTACACAAATTCACAAAGCCTCCAGGCGATAATCAGTCACAGATAGCCATCTGGTCCTTGTAGATAACTATCAGAGAAGTTCTGGAAGTCTGGTTTTTTGAGATAGGCAGCATTAATCGGACAAAGGCAGGAAGGGCTATTGAGAAGGCTGATTTTGCAAGCTGGTAGCTGATACAACTTATTTGGAAAACATAACATAATGAAATATAATGAACCATAACAAGGTGATTTTAAACA